TGTGTATGTGTGGGGGGTGTGTGTGTGTAGTGTATGTGTGTGGGGTGTGTGTAGTGTATGTGTATGGGGGGGTGTGTTGCGCATGTGTGTGGTGTGTGTGTGTAGTGTGTATGTGGTGTGTGTGTGTAGTGTATGTGTGGTGTGTGTGTGTATAGTGTGTGTGTGGGTTGTGTATACATGTATGTGTGTGAGGTGTGTGTGTATGTAGTGTATGTGTGGTGGCGGTGGTGGGGTGTCTCTGTGTGTGTGTGGTGTGTGAGAGAGGGAGCCTGCCTCTGGGGTTGAGGGGCCTGGGGGCAGCAGGGGCCGTCCGCGGCAGGCCTCCGCTCTCCCTCCCAGGCCAACCCGGCAAGCTTCTCACTGCTGTCTCTCTCTTTTTGCTCTCCTCCGTTTCTTTAATCTGGCAACTCTCCGTGGCAGCACCAAGGTATGGTCATCTCTTTCTGCTTCCCCTCCTCATGAGGTCCCAGGTCCATGGGCACCTCTCCCTGGGTTTGAGGTTGGCCGGGCCTCTCCTCAGTCCAGCAGAGGCAGAGCTGCCTTGAGGTTCTGGGGGCAGTTCCCCCTGGGTGTGTCTGGCAGGACACGGCAGTCCCTGGTACTCACTCTGAGGTGTCATTTCCTCCAGTCCTGCTCCTGTCCCCTGCAGTCCCAGCAGGGCAGAGGCTCCCGAGAGAGCAGATGAACTAGATGTGTCCACAAAAGGAAGCCTCGTGAGCTTCAAGCCCCAGCAGCAGCCAGAGTCCTCAAGCAGGGTCTTATGGAAGCCTTGGTAGAGACTGGGATTCAGTTAGAGCCACATGTCGCTGCCCTGGGTCATTCAGACCTGGAATGAATCAGACAGGTCCCTCCCTGGCTGAGAAGAGGGACACTGAGCAAGCCCAGCACATAGGGTGGACAGCACTGCAGGGGGACGCTCTGCCAGGGGAGGGGGTGGAGGATTGGAGGAGGCCTTGGAGAGGAGATGGCATGGCTGCAGGAGAGCTGAGGAGGTTCCCGTGGCGGGAGGCGTAGGGCCTTCAGTGCTGGGAGATGGCCTATAGAGCCCCGGGGCGCACGGAGGGGTTTCATAGGCTATGCGGGTCTGTACGAAAGACCTTCCCCTCTGGCTGTGAGTGTGCGGGAGGCCGAGGCCTGGAGGGCAGGGTGGGGCCTGGGCAGGAGTTCAGGAGGGGCAGTGGGGATGGATTTGGAGTCCACTTCCTATATTCTGGGTGAGCCATGGTGGCCCAATGGGAAGCAACTTGTCCACTCCCATGCACAGGGCACGGCCCCCAGCCTCCACAGCCGCCCCACCCTCCCCAGCCCTGTGTTCCCTGAGACCCAGCCACACTTCCAGCCTCTCACAGCTGTTGGCAGGAGGACCTGGGTTTCTTGTGGCCCCAAGAGCTGTCCGGGGCCTCTGTACCTACCTGCAAAGTAAGTACAGAGGGCCAGTGCCTCCAGCCTGGCCCCATGTGGGTGCCCCTCCGCTCCTCCTCCCCATCTGCAGAGCAGCTGTCTCACTGCACTCCCTATCTGCTCATTGCTTACTTGCAGCTGTCGGGTTGAAAGGGTGGACTTGGCTCAGAGCCAGGATCCAACCTGGAAGAACCCTTAGACCTCAGATGGCCCCATTTTCAGAGGAGACAGGTGAGACTCAGAGAGGAGAGGAAACTGGCCTGAGGCCCCAGGATGGTGGTGGGATGAACACACAAACCCCCTGCTCCGCTCCCAGGCCAGGCGCTGTCCCCACAGCTGGACAGGGCTGGCTGAGGCAGAGCACTCCTGGCCTGCAGCCAGCCCCTTGGCTGGTCACTTCACAGCAGGTCACACAAAGGCCCATGGCCCGAAGGGATGGACCTCACTCACCCCACCCCCATCCCCCATGTTACAGAAGCCGTATGCCTGTCAGATCCCTGGCTGCTCCAAGCGCTACACGGACCCCAGCTCCCTCCGCAAGCACGTCAAGGCCCATTCAGCCAAAGAGCAGCAGGTGCGTAAGAAGGTAAGCCAGCCCTCCTCATCTGGCCACCTGCACCACGCCAGTCCAGGCACCGCCCACCCACTCGCCCTGAATGCCACTGTTCGTCCATCTGTTAGTCCATCCATCTGTTCATCCACTTCCCACCTGCCCTGAGTGTCTCTGCTGACCCACAGCCCTTCATTCTGCACCCCAGCCAGCCCTTTACCATCCACAGATTGCCCACCAGCTCCTCGCCCCATGCCTCCGCCCACCCCCCACAGCTGGGTGGAAAACATACAATGTCCAGTCCTGTGCTGGGCACGGAAGATACAGAAATGAAAATATACAGCTCCACTTTCAATGGCCTGGCAGGCGGGGGCAGACATAAAGAGATGATTCCACCTCATGTCATTAAGGTGGCAAGAGAGGCGTGCAGAGAAAAGTCAGGGCACAGATGAAGGGCCTTAGTCCCTCTGGGTGTGAGCAGGAAGGTCCATGGAGGAAGTGGCGTCGGCCTGGGTGGAGTGTTTAGGGGTGGGAGTGTTTAGGGATGGGAGTGGGAAGGTCCGTGGAGGAAGTGGCGTCAGGCCTGGGTGCAGTGTTTAGGGGTGGGTGCACGGAGTGAGCCTGCTGGCCTTGCCTCCACTGGCCTTGCACCCAGGCACATGCCTTTGGGCTTCAGGTTCCTCAGCCATCAGAGGGGACAACAAAGGACTTGCCTTTAGACAGCTGCAGTCAGGAGTAAATGATGGTTTATGCTGAGAGTTTAGAACTGTACCTGGCACAAATTTAAAAGCTCAAAACAGACTTGGCACATATGTTCCTTAGTCTGAGGAAGGACTAAGTGTTGGGCCGGTGAATTCTCTGAGCGCTCCCCACAGGGACTGGTGTGGAGCAAGGCCTGAAGCCTGAAGCCCACCGTTTGCGGGACCAGCAGACACTCCACTCTCGAGCCAAGCAGTGCAGTGATGAGAGGTGGCGTGGACAGGGCTACATCCAGGACACAGTGGGTGCCATGGAGAGATCTTAAGCAGAGCAGGGACATGGCACCTTGAGAGGTGACCATGAGGGCCATGTAGAAAATGCATTGGGGACTCCCATGGAACTCTGGGGCCAGGGAGTGAGGGTCCTTGAGTGCTAGGGAGGGTGTGGGGGTGAAAGAGACACCAGAGGCCAACTCGGGGACACTAGTATGACAGAGGAGGACAGAGTGGGAAGAGCCCATTCATTGGTTCACCCAGATTTACAGAGTACCCACTGTATTCTAAGCCTTGTTCTGTGAACTGCAGACATGGCTGTGAATGAAACAGGGCAGAGACCTGCAGGCTGGAGGAAGCAGCTGCCTCAAGCCCTGGGACAGGGAGACAGTGATGGGGTGCTGAGAGCAAGCTGGCCTCAGTGGGAAAGAGGATGGGAGGGGACCACCAGGCTTGGGAAGCTGGCCTCCAGCCTGCAGGCAGCGGGGAGCGTTAGAAGCTGTGGAGCAGAGAGGGATGGGGTCAGAGCCTGCGCCGTCAGCTTTCTGCTGAAATACCTCCTCCATACTCACCGGGGAGGGAGAGGCTGTGCTTTAGCCCAGGTGCCTCTGCGGCTCCGGCACTGTACCTGGGGCTTCACATCCTGTATCTCATTTAGGCCTCACTCTAACCCTAGCTCCCCAGCTCCTCAGGAGGCTGAGGTGGGAGGATCACTTGAGCCCAGGAGTTGGAGCTGCAGTGAGCTGTGATTGCACCGCTGCACACTAGCCTGAGTGACAGAACAAGACCCTGTCTCAAAAACAAACAAACCACAACCATAGGTGTGGGCACTGTTTTTTTTTTCCTCATTTTATTTTTAGAAACAAATTCTCCCTTTCACCCAGGCTGGAGTGCAGTGGCATGATCATGGCTCATGGCAGACTTTAAGTCTTGGGCTCAGGTGATCCTCCTGCCTCGGCCTCCTGAGTAGCTGGGACTATAGGCATGCTCCACTGCTCCCGGCTTTTTTTTTTTTTTTAGTATATTTTTTTGTAGAGACAGAGGTTTCACTTTGTTGTCCAGGCTGGTTTTGAACTCCTGACTTCAAGAAATCCTCCCACCCTGGCCTCCCAAAGTGTGGGGGCTAGAGTCATGTGAGCCCCTCATTTTAGAGATGGAGAAACTAAGGGTCGGAGTTAACAAACCAGCCCAGCATCATGCACCACAGAACGGCCAGAGCTGGGGTCCCATCCCAGACCTGTGTTTCCAGGGCCTGAGCTCGGTTCACTGCTCTCAGGTTGAGGGCCTGACCAGGGACAGGGAATGGCCCAGGCTCCAGGAGACTGGAGTGCCTCACCAGGGAGGCTTCTGTCCCAAGCGGACCAGTGCCCGAGGACCAGAATCCTGCCCTCGCTTTCCCAGGCCCCACGCTTGGCTCTCACTGAGCCCCCGGGGACTTGGGGCCACAGATCTGCAAACTTCCCAACAATAAGCATCCATTAAGAGCCATCAGGGATGATGTATCTTTCTGGGTAAAGCGACCCTTGTATTATGACAAGTCCTTGGCAGCCCTGCTGCATTTCAGAGAGAATTAGAAATGCTTTTCTTCCTTAATTCTCCTCTCCTGCTGCTCCTAATCCAATAGACATTGTGGTCTACAAGAACATGCCTTGGCTCTCTTTTGCCAGAAACTTAATTTACATGGAAAACAGCTGCTGGGTCAGGGAGCTAAGAGCCCATCTCAAGGCTGGGCATGCCTTCTCCAAGTCTGGGCCCTGGCCCTTCTGTCCTGGGAGGGCAGAAAAGCCCTGAGGGCCGACTCTCAGCTGTTGTGTGATATAGGGCAGGGCTCTCACCTTCTCTGGGTCTGTTTTGTCCTGGGGAAGATGAGCATTTGGATGAGCCAAGCTTCGGGATTTCCCTGAGAGAAGGGGCCCTTCCCATCCAGGTGCCTGCCCCAGTCATCACTCAGTGTCCTGAAGGCCTCACCCTGTCCCCATTCTGGCTCTGGAAGGCGTTCTGAGGTGACTGTCTTTGGGAACAGCCAAGGGTTTTTGGCCAAAGATTTGCTTGCGTTCCTGGGTGCACCCCTGCCCAGGCTTGCCCTTAGCCGAGGGACCTCAAGTCCATACACTGATCCATCATGCCCACGATGGGGTGACCAGATGGGGCCCAGCCAGCCCTACCACCGCACTTCCAAAGCACGTCCCCAGCCATCGTCTCATTCCCCCAGGGGGAATGGCAGCCCAGGGGGAGGCGTGACTTGCTGCTTATTACAGACTGGGTAGGCAAGACCCAGGGAGGGTAAGCTATTTGTCCAGCATTACACAAGGAGTAAGAAGAGGTGGGATGGGATCTGAGCCCAGCTCTTCATCCCTAGCCCTGAACTATTTCCACTGAACCTTGTACCAAGAAGGAAGAAGGAAAGAGCTGGGTCAGGTGGGGGGCGCTAACTGCACACCTGCTGACTGCACACCTGCTGCGCTCCACCCCTCCCGCATCCGTTCACCCGCACAGCACAGAATGCTCCTGCAAACCGCGGCTACCCATGCGAGGCCCCACTGCTGCCCTTTGCCACCCATTCTGTGGGTGTGCGCAGGCCACACCTCCCGCAGGCTGCTCCCAGCAGTGACTGAGTATGGCAGGCCCAGCAGGGACACTGAGGCAGAGCCTTCCTGAGAGACACTGGACTCCCTGACATCCAGCAGACATTGGCTGCTGAGGACCCCCTGAGTCCCTGTCCTGGACGCTCCCGCCTGGCCCTTTCTCCCTCTCTCCTCTTCCCTTCCTCCGTCCCTCGGTCCCAGGGCTCTCCCAGCAATCTCCCTGTTTCCTCTCACACAGGCACGTCTCCCATTTAAACCCTTGCATGTTCAATCCCATCTTGGCATCTGCTTCTCGAAGGACCTGGACTAACACCATCTTCACAATGTACACATCAGCCTAATTCATAGATGAGGAACTGAGGCACAGTGACGGGAAGGGTCTTGCCCTGGGGCTGCAGTCCCTCCTGCCCTGTCCCCTAAAGGGAGGGTTGTCGGTGGGCAGGGGCCTCACGTAACACACACCTCTTTTCCCTCTGCTTGCTCCCCAGCTGCACGTGGGCCCTGACACCGAGGCCGACGTCCTGACTGAGTGTCTGGCCCTGCAGCACCTCCACGCGTCCACACAGCTGGCTGCCAGCGATGGCAAGGGTGGCTGCAGCCTGGGCCAGGAGCTGCTCCCAGGTATGTGGGCTGGGAGGCAGGGCCAGGGCATAGCCCGGGAGGGGCCTTTCTTTGCCAACAGTCCTTGTAGCACAAGTGACACTCAGTGGGCCGCCCACATGGGAACGACTTGTTGCCGGCGCCCGTTTGTCTGGACTTGGTTGTCTGTGCCTCTGGCTCTCCACTTCCAATCCATCTTCTCCCTCTAACTAGGCAGATGTTCCTTCACATTCCTCTGTGGCTCCCCATTGCTCAGGGCATGAAGCCCTCACCCTGTCAGCCCGGCCTCCAAGGTTCGTGGGGCCTGGATCCTCCTGGCAGCCTCTTGCCTCCCCTTGGCATGTTGGAGGTGGTTCCCTGAACACTCTCTGCTCCTGCTTCCCCCACACTGGGCACTGTCCACACCCTGCCAGTCCTCTTCTCCCTCCCTTCATGAAGGTAGCTCCTGTCCTTCTTTCAGGACCCACCTCCGTGCCCCCTCCTCCAGGAAGTCTTCCTCTGGGCTTTGCTCTGCCCCAGTGCTGAGCACTCTGGGCGTCACTCTGCTTCCCATCTGTCTCCCCCACCAGACTGTGAGCTCCTCAAGGGAGGCCCAGGGTCTGCCTGATTCTGGGGTCGCCAGCAACCAGGATGGGGACATGTGTAGAGCTGGGCTGGGGGAACCCATGGCCTTGCCCCAAGCGTCACGAAGAGAGGCTCTGGTGCCCTTCCTGATGGCCCATGCTGCTGGGATCATCCGCAGGGAGGAGCCATCTTCAAGAAGAGCCCATTCTGTCCCTGGCCTTGACTCCTGCTCCAGAGGAGAAAACCCAGTTCTGAGAGAATAGGGACTTAGCCCAGATCACTTCCAGCTCATTACTAAACTCTGTGGCCCAGAGATGGGGCCCCCAGAGCCCCTGGGACTCTGCAGGCCCCTCCAGCCAGACACTAAGGGCCTCTGGTCCAGCTGAAGTGGCCCGTCTCTCCTCCCCATCCCCCAGCAGCCATGGGCCACAGGGCAGGTCTCAGGCCACAGCAGGTATTCCTGGCTTTGTAGCTCGGGCATCCAACCCACATAAGGGTAGCGTGGCCTATAGATTCCAGCTGACAGTCCTTGTGCTCTACCCCCAGCTCCCCTAAAGAAACCACAATATCAGAGCAGAGAGCTCTGCCCACCCTCTGGGATTTCTTGAATTATGTCAATCATTTCAAACATTTTTTATTTTCAATTTTTTATTCTTTCCCCTCAATGTTGAAGTAGCAACGGATTTAAAAATATGTCAAACACTTGCCAAACAGCCTCAGGAAGAAAAGCTTTGCAGCCTTTCTCATGGGTCGCCCTTCCCAGGGGTCTGTGCTCAGGCAGGCCCACGAGGGTGTGGACACAGGCGGATGGGTGCCTGGGGGAGGGTCTGTACGCTCCTCACCTCCAGCTGGGAGACCCTTCTGCGTGGCTGCTTCTCACGGGGTCAGAATTGCTAAAATGGCAGGGCTGGAAGGGACCGGGGGGCTGATTCAGCCCTGGGAGAAGGTATCTCAAGTGCCAGCCCCCAAGGACTGGTCATGGCAGTGACCCCTTGGAGCTCTGTGTTAAGAAAAAATAAAATAAGGCCTCAGAAGCTGCTTCCTGAATCAGCCGGAAAGAGAGCAGCTCCTGAGGAGCAGTGCTGCCCCCAGGGCAAAGTTCTCGTACCTACCCCTTCATTTACCCAGGGAAGACTCAGGCCTGGGCAGGAGAAGAAATCACCTGAGGTCATCCAGAGAAGTCAGCAGCCAGTCCAGACTGCAAGCCTGTTCTCCCAGATGCCAGCCTCGGGCTTGTCCCAGCGAGAAGGGACAGGGCCAGCAGTCACCGTCTTTGAGCACCTGCCTGGGCCACTCACTTCACAAATCTCCCCTCATTCAATCCCCAACTATGCTGTGGAGTAGTGTGAAACCCATACTGCAGATGAGAAACGGAATCAGCTGAGGCCTCGTCATCACAGATTGGAGGAGCCGCTCCTGCTGAAGCTGCTGCCCTTGCTCTGTGACAATAAGCGGTGTTTTCCCTGTTTTGAGCCTCAGTTTCCCTCCCAGACACTGAGGGATCTCATCTGCTATGAGAACAATGTGATCGTGGATGCGGTCACTTATATAAACCCTGTGTGACCGATAATCTTACTGTTATTGTTGCTCTTGAGGAACAAGAAGAATGACTGTGTGCTCGTCCACCTTACAATCATGCACAGCCAGCACGTATTGACTGTGCCAGGCACCGCTCCAGGGACTGTGCATGGACGTCACTGCCATCATGCTCACATCAGCCTCAGAAGGCACACACAAGCCATAGCCAGCAGGTGGCAGAGGCAGGATTTGAACCCAGACCATCTGTGCAGGCTGCCCTCTTAACCAGAGCCGGTACCTCCCTGCTGCCAGTGCTGCCCCTCAGCCATACCTAGCACCTGCTGTCTGCCAGGCCCCATGCTGGCCCCGTCCCTGAGCTGCTTCTAGTACAGCAGGGAGGGCAAGACCAGCCAGGCAAAGCCCAGTGTCCTGGATCCCCCAGGATCTGACCTGCTAGGTTCTTCTGCAGGCCGTGTGGCAGATGCCTGAGAAGGGAACAGATGTGAGGCCAGAGGTTAAGCACTCAGGGCTGATGACTGATGACACAGCTTTACAGCCTGAAGTGGTGTGTTTTGGGGAGAGCCTGTCAGGCCCCGTGGCATCCTCGCTCCTGCTGCTCTTCGCAATCCTGTGGTTCCTTCATTCCCATCTGCTGTTTGCTGACATGGTCAGCATCTCTAGTTCACACACTCGGTCACCCACCCTGTGTCCGTCTTTGGTGTGGAGGCTGGACAGGCAGGGATGTGGCCCCAGGGCACCGGGAGACAAGGGCAGGGGACCGAGTCAGGGAGGGTTAGCAGAGTCCAGAACAGAGGAGAGAAGGTGAGGGACAAGCTGCAGAGGGAGACACCGAATTTCCATTGTCCACTTGCAGGACGCTCCCTTGAGTAGGGACCAGCTCTCTTCTGCACAGGAGACCCCCCAACCCCTGGGAGCTTATCTGCCAGGCCTGTCCTGAGCAGACCCAAGGTAATGTTATGGACAGTGAGGACTTGAGAAGCATGAGGTCAGCGTGGCTGAGGGAGAGGGAGCAGGACTGATCTGGATTCTAAGCCTTCCCAGCTGTCGGCACCCCAAATTGGTTCAAGATAGCAGGCGAAGAGGTGCTAAGGTGAGCGGCTCAGACATGGGCAGCTCCTTGCCAAGCTCTCTCCACAAATACCGCTTCAGGTGACTTCCCCAAGCTGAGGAGGGAGGCAGTGGCTGGATGGACCGGGGATGCTGGCCCCGGGAACACAGTGCAGAGGCAGGGAGTGGTAAGGACGGTGGCCGGGAGCTGGAGGGTGCCTGGAAGCTCTCACCCAGAGCCCCAGGGTCTCACAGCAGCCAGCAGTGACACCTGCACCAGAGCCGAGGCCTCAGTCAGACACCTGGAACACCACCTGGGCTGGAGCCGCTCCTAGCCCTGGCCTCACGTGAACTTTCTCTCCCCACTGCTTGGAAGATGGCCCCGAGGAGCCACCTACTCTGTGACTTTGGACAAGTCGTTCAACTTGCTAATAATTTAGTTTCCTCATCTTAAATGGGATATATTGTCTTCCCCACTGACATTTGTCGAGATGGTTAAACTAGATAATGTGGAAAGACAGTTTGCCACATAGTATGTTTTTAATTAACGGTAGCTGTTGTGATAGCAGAATCACCGGATGTAACATATGTAGGGTGCTTACAGCTGGGACTCCAAGCCAGGGGTTGCAAACTGTTTGGCCTCATAGGCACAGGGGTGCTTTTTGGTTGTTTTTCTTGAGACAGAGTCACCCAGGCTGCAGTGCAATGGCACCATCTCGGCTCATTGCAACCTCTGCCGTTCTGGTTCAAGCCATTCTCCTGCCTCAGCCTCCCAAGAAGCTGGGATTACAGGTGCGCGCCACCACGCTCAGCTAATTTTTGTATTTTTAGTAGAGATAGGGTTTTGCCATGTTGGCCAGGCTGGTCTCGAATTCTGGCCTCAAGTGATCCTCCCACCTCGGCCTCCCAAAGTGCTGGGATTGCAGGCTTGTTTTTTTAATGGTTTCCATATGAAGGTCTTTTCACAGCATGTGCTCTCCCGTTTGCCACAGGCCCCGCTGCTCCCCTTGTTAATCCATGCAGTTTCACTTATTTTGCTCCCTGCCATGCTGCCTGAGGCACTGAGCTTGCCACCCCTGCCACAGCCCTGCTTGTTCCCTTAGCAGCCTCTTCAATTGCAGGCCTAGGCCAAAGGGGCCAGCTGGGATGAGTTAGCCTTGGAACCTCAACCAACTGAGAAGGTAAAAGGTCTCCTTACTCCATTCATGAAAAGAGACTGGTGTATTCTCAGATTTGTCCTTATGGTGTAATAAGAGCACTGGTCTGGATCCATGGTGACCAGAGTGCTGTTCAGTATGTAACAGCTGCCCCATGTGCACTGGCCAATCAGAGTGGACACCATATCAGTGCAGCCCCAGGCTAGCCCCCAGGTCACACAGTCCATCAGTGCAGCCCCAGGCTAGCCCCCAGGTCACACAGAGTCCTCCCAGGGCATCTGCTGGATGCATGGATTTCAGAGAAAATGATCAGTTGCTGTTAAGCATGGCCAGGTTGAAGAAGGGATGCACAACTGGCACTCTCTAGAGAGATGAGCCACGGAGAAGGCAGAGGGAGGCCAAGGAGCCCCGGGCTCCATTCTGGGTATGGTGGCCTGGAATGCAGGAGTCGGGTGTATTCATCTTTTTTATTTTTTCAGATGAAACAGGGAACATAAAAACTTACAGCTCTTGCCGTGTCCTTCCTAGACTTCGGTCCCAGAGTAGGGGTTTATTTCCTACTCTTATTAGGGTTTCTTTGTGAAGGCATTTGGGGAGTGCTGGGCTCAGTAACTCCCTAAGCCTCAGTCGGGCCCCTGGAGCAACATCGGATGCTGACCTAGTGTCCTCCATTGATTTATTAGCCTGCCTATCTTAACAAGGGTAAGACCCTAGGGGGTAAAAGGTGACAAAAGGTGGCATCACCCTGCAGGTATCTTCTGAAGGTTTAGAATCTGAGACTAGAATGTGGCTGACTCCTCTCCTCAGTTGGGACCCTTGTTCAGTGTACAGTCCATACAACTATCCATAGCAGCCCTTCTCAGAGGTCTCCCAGGCCAGCCTGCCACCCAGCTAGTGCAGTCATCCCTCTTTGAAAGCCTTCACAGTGGACACCCGGCTGTGCTTACATGTCTCTGGGGGAGGTGGTTACCCTGCAAGGGCATTCCATTGCCCTGCAGCAACACTGCGCGTTAGAAGGCACGGCGGCGCCCTGGGCTGCTGTCTACTTCTCTCAAGCTGCTCTCCATTCCTGGGTCTCTGTCTGCTTCCAGGGCCACACAGAACAAGCCCCTTCTTTTCCTGAACAGCGCCACAGAGATTTGAGACAACCTGCCCAATACATGCCCCCATCTCAACACACATGTGTGTGCACACACACACACGAACACACACACATGCACACATGCATATGTGCACACGCACACACACACATGATCTGAGCACCCCATGCCTCTGACAGCCCCTTGCCAGTCCACCTCTGCTATCAGGGTGAGCCCCAGCTCTGGACACAGCCCTTTAACCAGGGCCTGCAGGGCCTGAACTGAGCGGAGTGGAGCCAGCACCTCCTTCATTGGGGCCCCTAACCTCCCAGTGATACAACTGTGCTCATTTTCCCTCTTGTCTTTCTGTCTCCATCATCAGGCACACACAGCTCCTGGGCCATCACAGCCATCTCTAGGGAGTGGCCCGAGTCCAGTGACCCTTGTTTGATTCCCTGCAGGTGTGTATCCTGGCTCCATCACCCCCCACAATGGACTTGCGACAGGCCTCCTGCCCCCAGCCCACGATGTGTCTTCCAGGCACCAACCTCTGGATGCCACCACCAGTTCCCACCACCATCTGCCCCCTCTGCCCATGGCTGAGAGCACCCGGGATGGGTATGTACACCAGGCCAGTCCTCCTCCAGGGGCAGCAAGAGGGAACTGGGGGGAGGGAGGGAGGGCAGGTGTCCCGCACTGTCTGTCTGCTTGTTACTGATAATGAAAATGGCCAGCCTTCAGGGAACACTGACTGCGTACTGCATTCTAAACCCTTCCTGTGCATGCTTCCACTGGGGCCTGCAGTAACCCTGAGTAGATGGTATTGGCTTCTGAATGTCTTGCTTCAAGCAGCCCCTCCTCCCCACTGGGGGACCCTGGGAAAACTCTGTGGCCCCACCCAACGACCCCTGCATTCCGGACTGCCAAACCCAGAATGGAACCCAGGCCTCCCGGGCCTCACTCTGGCATCTCCTTGGCTCATCTGTGCATTTGGGAGCAGACTGCCCACTGCTCACACTCCACAGATGCTGGTGTGGGCCCCACCCCATCTCCAGCCACTGCAGCTGTGACTGTCGCCCGGCCTGCAGGGGATGTCTGGGAGCCTTTACTGCAGGATCACTGTGGAGAGGGGTGGCCTCTTCCCGTGCCCCATGTGGTTCTCATTGTGGCCACTTAATTGACTGGAAATGGTGAATGTGTTCATTGCTGGACCGTGATCTGCTGAAATCTGTTTTTCTTGCAAATGAGCAGAGGGAGTCCTCACAGCCCCGCCCTCCTCCCCTCCCTGCTATTTTTTTGCTAATCACCTTGTCCCTTCTCCTCCTCTCCCCCTCCCCGCACCCAGCCTGGCCCTAGCACCTTCCTCCTTCCCTGCCCTTCCTCTGCCAGGCAACAGCCTTGGTCTTGGCCTGCCTGCGCCTGGGGCCAGCCTGGCTTCATCACCACATTTGTGGCCCACTGTGGCCCACCGCTCCTATTATTACTGGGCTCCTCCTGCCGTTCATTCACCCGTTCATTCAGTGTTCAGTTACGGAGCCCCTGTGGGCAGGCCCTGGGCCTAGGGCTGCCGATGACTTTGGCCCTGGAGATGCTTACTGTGAGAGGGAGACCTACCGCATAGGGGCCAGTGCTACGTGGCAAGGAAGCAGAAGGGCTGTGGAGCCCAGAGGAAAGCCCAGTGGCGTGTGGCTGCCGGGAGGATGTCAGAGAAGGCTTCCTGGAGGAGGTGAGGCTGGAGTTGGATGGGTGGAGAGGCTAGGAGGAAGGAGTAGCAAGAGCGAAGGTAGGCATGGTGAGAGCTTGGTGTGATCTGGGGAACCATCGTGTGGGGTGACGAACTTGGGAGAGAGGCTGCCAGGTCCAGAGCCCAAGGCCTGGGATGGGACTCAGCCTGAGGCGTGTTGAGCAGTGATGTGGTCAGGTTTGGGATGAGGACGCAGGGCGGCATTGCAGGGGTGGAGTGGACTCTGGGGCACGGTTCAGGCTGGGGAGGAGGAACCAGAAGGCAGTGGTGACACAGAGGCAGCAGGAGTGGGAAACCTGGGCTGGGCAGGGAGAGGAGGGGGTGTCAGGGGTGAGCTGGGGTGCACAGGGGCTGCTGACGGACAGGGGAAGATTATAGCTGTGAGTGTGAGTGTGAGCAGAGGGTCATGAAGAGGCCGCCTGAGGGGATGTAGGGGGACCCAGAACACCGGGCCCAGCTTGAGCTCAGCTGCTGCCTCTGTGAAAGGCATCAGAAGGCCCTGCCCGAGGAAGGGGGTGAGAGCCGTACACATGCCTGACACTCTGTGTCCCACCTGGCACAGGCGACACCATGATGGTCCCCGCCCCCACCCATACCCACTCAGGCCACCTGCTCACCCACCAGCCAGCTGAAAAACATCGTCAACCGAAGGAAAAGAAACCACGGAGTCCATTCACTCCTTGGCCGTGCACTCTGCTCTGCCTCATTCATCACCTGCCTGCCGCCTGCATAAGTGCCCGTCAAGAATTCTGCAGTGGGAGGCAGAGTGATGACAAGATGGGACCCCCACCTGCCCACCCCCACCTGCCCACCCCGCCTACCCACCCCTGCCTTTGGGTGGGAGCCTCAGGACCAGCTGCAGGAGAGAAGCGCCCTCATGCCTGACTCCAGGCCCCGGCCCAGTGTGAATGGGTCTCTTCTTCATCTCGAGAAGAGAGTGGGGAAAGGGACTTCAGCCTCCCTTTCCTGCCAAAGTCAACAAGGAGCAGCCACTCATGGCTCCCCAGCGGTTTGCTGGGACGTTTAAATAGCTTGACAGAATTATCTGATTCACTCAAAAATATGCTAAGAGGGCCTGACTTCATGACCAAATTTATTTACCCTGGCTCAGAGAAGACGCCGAATAGGGTATTTTTTTTCCCAGCCTTGTGCGAGGTATGAAGCCCTCGGTCTGCCAGGCCAGTGAGGTTTTATATTAATTTTTATAGGTTCCAGTTGAAGCAAAAATATTTGATTTAGGAATCATTTGCATGACTCAGAGGAGGAGCTCCAGATGATCTTTCTTGCCTTTTAAAGAGTTCAGGTAGAGCTGCGTACCCTCAGGCGTCATGTCTGCTGTGGGGAGAGTTGTGTTCTGTTTAATTTCACTGGCTGTGAAGGTGGCAAATGTGAACTTATGGTGGAGCGAGACAGGAAAAACAAACTTTTGAAAATGCATGTTTTTTCTCCTTCATATCTGGTTCATCTTAATCCTGCAATGCCATCAATCTCTGGGGTTTGTAGCTGAGAGATTCAGAAACTCATTTATTAGTGTCATCGGTTGTTGGCTGAGTGGCAGGCCCAGCACTGGGCACTAGGTGGCCGAGAACGACCAAGACCTGGCCCTTCCTACAGGGGCTCCAGGAAACCAGGGGAGGGCTGGGCTGTGGGTGCCCAGCTGGGATAGGGATAAGGCGGCCACCATGCAGCAGGCCCATGGGAAGGCGAAGCCACTGCAGGCCCCAGCCCATCTTCAGCCAGGAGAACTGGCCATGAGGACACACAGCTTGTGCACAACTCTACACGGTTTCCAGTGCATAGAGGAAGACACTGTCCCATTTGGTCACCCTTAAGATGGGCCTAAAAATGATGATGATGATGATGATTTATTCCTGGAGGTGTGATGAGGAATGGCCCGTGAACTTAGAACTGTGACATAGACCCACAGTGTGTGAGTGACTGGGCCAGGGACCCAGCACCGAGGCCCTGCTTCCCCTGTCCTCAAGTGAGCCCACAGTGACAGAGGCCCAGACCTATGGATGATGACAGCAGACTAGAGGGGCAGTGGAGGGGCTGCCAAGGTGGGAGGGAGCAGAGAGGAACCTGGTGCGGCCGCAGATGTGGAGACTCCGGCCTGTCTCCAAATCTGCTTTCTCCATTTCCAGATAGCCCTGCTTCTTTCAGAGAGGCACCGACCTGTTAACACTTGGTGTCTCAGAAGGTAGGCAAGGATAACGAGGTCACCTGGAGCTGTGACACTGAATTCACTGTATATTTTAATGTGGATGGTCTAATAACTCACAAATCCAGAGAAGAAATGGGGACTTTGAGTCTCCCTCTTTCTGCCATGCACGTAAGTGCTTTACAGGCTGGGAGCCTGTAGCCTTGTCCCCAGAGTCCCCAAGCCGTTGATCTCAAAGTCATTTTAGCCCCTGTGAAGTGGGCCTAGGGGCTTAGGAAGGTAGCGTGAGAAGGGAACCCGGCCTGCAGCATCCTACGGTCCAGGTAGATGGCCCCGGGCTGGGCCGGGCTCAGGGCGCCTGTGCAGCTCTCAGCCGCTGCAGTCGTGCTTCTGAACATGAGCTTCCAGAGTGCATGGTCTGTCCCTCAGGCTCTGTATGAAGGCAGCTGGGGAGCCCCCCGTCGCAGGCGGTATGCAAGCGGAGGACAGACGGCCAGGGCTGGAAACAGGAGAAGGTTCCTCAGAATAAACTGTGCAGAAAAAAACGCCAACTTGGCTGTGGGACCGACTTGCTAGTTTTTCTTCCCTTCATCTTTGTAATGGTGATGCTGGTGGGTGGAGTGCTGAGAATACATCCGATGTCACACTCTACATCGCTTTCATGTCACCCTCACCGTAGCCCCTGAGGTCGGTGCTGTGTGGCTGGGAGTAACTTGGGCGAACGTCTCTGAACCTTGGTTTTCTGGTCTGCGAAGAGGACACAAGATCATCTATCTCCCAGGGCCTGGGGCAAGTCAGGGCTCAATGCCTGGGGACTGTGAGTGCCATGGGCTGCTCCAGGGCTCCTCTTCCAGGTTGCCAGAGTGGCAAGCACGAGGCAGAGAGCCGGGCACCCGGCAGGTAATGACGCTGCAGCGTGCCGGGTGGTGAGCCGGCAGCCCTTCCTGGAAACCAGGGCTCAGAGACATTGAGTAGCTTGCCCCAAACACCTGGACAATGAGAGCAGTTAGGGGTTTGAACACAGTTCTCTCGTCTGGAAAGATCGCGCCACTTACTCCTGTTCCTTGCTGACTATCCTAAACACCAGACTCCAAAGCTTCCAGGATTGAGTTTGGCTTGAACCTGACCAGACATAAAAGCTCCTCTCCTAACTGTTGTAAGTTGGAGCAGGTCAGCTGGGGAGTGGGCTCCCGTTGCTGGAGGGGACAAACTGTGGCAGCCCTGCCTCGGACCCCGCCCTCCACACCCCTGCCTGCTGACAAGTTCTCTGTTCTCTCCAGGTTGGGGCCCGGACTCCTCTCACCCATAGTCAGCCCCCTGAAGGGGCTCGGGCCACCACCGCTGCCCCCATCCTCCCAGAGCCATTCTCCGGGAGGCCAGCCCTTCTCCACGCTCCCGAGCAAGCCTGCCTACCCACCCTTCCAGAGCCCTCCACCCCCGCCTGTGCCCAGCCCGAGAGGTAAGCTCTGGCCAGGGGCCCACTCCATATCACCCCCGCCATTCCCGCTCAGGAACCTCAGAGGAATGAGGAGACAGTGGCCTAGTGGGGGAGGAAGGGGCTCAGAGAATGACCGCCTGGGCACTGGGGCTGAGAGAAGCTGGGACACAGGGGACATAAGAGGCCCAGCTGGGGCACGGCCTGGAGGAAGCTGGTCCTGACAGTGAGGAAGAGTGAGAGGCCAGTGAGCGCCGGCACGTGGAGGGAGCAGACGTCGAGACCATCTCAGCCACCCCTGGCCTGTCCTCCCTCCCTGCAGGGCGGAGCTGAGAATGGGCCCCAGCCTCCTGCACCTTCCCTGCCCTGGCCCTCCTCTCTCACTCACACCCACGATGCCTGGACGGGACCACGGGAGGCGCAGCGTGCAGTGAGGACGGTCCCCCTCCCTGCCCTGGGTACTTCTTTTTTGTGAACGCGGCCCCTGCCACCCTGTTTGCAGGTTACCAGGGCAGTTTCCACTCCATCCAGAGCTGCTTCCCCTATGGTGACTGCTACCGGACAGCGGAGCCAGCAGCTGGCGGGGACGGACTGGTCGGGGAGACCCCCGGTTTCAATGCCCTGAGGCCCAACGGCTACCACAGCCTCAGCACGCCCTTGCCTGCCCCAGGTGAGCCCTGCCTGCGTGGCTCCCGGTCCAGGGCACCTGCCGAGCTCAGCCCGGTGCTGGGTGCTGCATGCATGGGGTCCTGTAGCCTTTGGATGCTTATGTGGCAGGGCCATCCCCATTTCACAGGGCGGGAAGTAGAGGCTCAGAGAGTCCCAGGACCCCGCAGCACTGTCTGTACCTGCCTGACTGTAATGTCTGGCTTTTCCCACAGCTTCGAGAGCCTTGTGTGTCTGAATGCTGACAGGTTTCTGAAGAATCAGACTGGGAGCTCATGGTTTAATTACTTCTTCACTTTATTTATTAAGCACCTACTGTGTGCCAGGCGTAGCTGCAGACCCTGGGGATGTATCAGGGAATGAACAAATCCTGCTCTCCCTTTGGCAGCAGAGGAGACCAGGCAGGGACAGAGCCTGGAGGCCGTGCTGTCCCTTCTCCGCATCGGTACCTGGTGCTGCCCTCCAGGGCCCTGGGCCTCCCCAGCTCTGCCCCTGGCTTGGCTAGAGAAGCCCAGGGAGAGGGGACAGCCCACAGCCCAGGTGGAACCAGGCTCAGAGCAGTGGCGCCGGCCTAGTCAAGGCAGGCCTAATCAGAGCAGGGGCATCAGAAGGGAGGGGCTAGACCCTCCCTGAATTCTGGAGCCAAGACCACCCTCAAAGCAGCCTGGGGCTCAGGTCTAGCCAGAGGTTTCCAGGGCTCCAACAAAGAGGAACCTGAGACCCGCCCCAGAGGCCCTTTGGTCAGCCTTGAGTGTGCACAGTGGGAAGTGGAGGGACAAGGATATAGGGACAAGCACCGAGGTCTCAGCTGGGCACACACCACCCTGTGGGTCCACGTCCACACACCTGCAAAGGCTGGTCCCTGCAGACAGGCTGGATGCCCATGCCAGGTGTCTGTGTGTGCCCGTGCTTGCAGGGCTGGCACAGGTGGCTCTGGCAGGATGTGCCCCATGAGTGTGAGGAGTTGGCAGGGCATGCACTCATGTCTGCACACGTGTTACTTCACGTTTGTGCGAATGTCCGTGCACCCCATCTGTGTGCACATCGTGTCACCCACCCATGACTTGGCTGATTCTATGGACAGTGCGTGCCTGTGTGTGATGTGGGCTGTTTCAGATGAGCGTGCTTGTGTGCACTTGTGCACCTGTGTTCAAGGACCGTATCCACAGGCCTGTGAGTACACGTGTGCCATGTCCACGCGTGATAGACGTGTGTGCATGGACCCCTGTGTGGCATGTGCACACATGGGAGATGAGTGCTCTGTGTCTGTGCATGCCTGAATTGAGGTGCCCAGCACTGCGGGCTCCCCATCCTGTCCTCCCACCCCCATCCAGCCCATGTGGGATTTCCCAGCTGTGCAGCAAGGCTTGGAATGAATAGCTCTGACGGAGTGGCAGACAACTTCCACGCCCCACCCCTACACTGGCCAGGGGAGGTTCTTTTGGCCTCCCCTCTCCCCAGCACCCACTCCAGGCCCACTAGCTGCCTTCTGCCCACACTTCCTGGTCAAGGAAAAATCACACACAGAGCTGACACGCCAGCTGACGAGCTCGAGGAGCTGCAGGGCCTCAGAACAGTTTGGCCCAACGCCACTGCGTAGACAGGCTAACCTGTCTCAGGCCACACACATGAATGACAGCAGTTCACTGACAGGCCTTTAGGGCAGGGGCAGGAGAGGATGACCCCTCCCAGCCCCTCCCAAGTCAAGGGCCTCTGAGCAGTGGCCTCACCCTGGTCACAGCATGTCCAGTGGAACAGGGAGACATCTCTGGAGCCAGATGGACCTGGGTTCAACCCCAGCTCCCTTCCTTACTCACACTGTGACCTTAGGCAAGCGTCTTGGCCTCTCTGTGCCTGCCTTCTCAGCTATAGAATAGGATAGTGAACCCCACCACATGGGAGCGTTGCAGAACTGAAGCCAGACAAGCTAAAATGAGCACTTACTAAGTGCCCAGGAAATGCTGGTGCTCTTCTTTGGGTTTCTTGAGTCCATTTGGGGGATGCAGCTGAAAGGATGGGGACGAGCTGGGCCTTCTGCCAGGAGGGGACTAACCCCTGAGGGCAAGGGCTGTGCTGCTCCTACCCACCCCCACATTCTGCCCACGGTCAGCCCCATGCCTGTCTCTCCAGCTGTCCTGGGCCCCCTGGGTGTGCCAGGCCCAGGGTGGCTCCCAAGCCCTCTCCCCACCCCAGCGGCCAGCTCCCACATTCGGAAAAATAGGGGGCTCCAAGCAGGCCCCGGGGATGGAACTCAGTGAGGGGGCACTCTGGGCAGGTGGGGTGGGGCCTGGGAACTGGGAAGGATGAGCAGGCACAGCCCCTGCTGCCTCCGGCGCTGACCGCTTCCCACCCTTTGTCAGGCTATGAGGCCCTGGCCGAGGCCTCGTGTGCCACAGCGCTGCCACAGCAGTCATCTGAAGACATGGCGTCCAGCGGCCCCGAGGACTGCGGCTTCTTCCCCAATGGAGCCTTTGACCACTGCCTGGGCCACATCCCCTCCATCTACACGGACACCTGAAGGAGCCCCGTGTGCGCCTGCCTGCCCAGCACTGCAGATGTCACCTCACCCACCTGCTGTCACTCCCACCCTCCATGTACCCCGCAGGAGCGCCAGGCCACAGCTGGAACATCTGGGCCATGACCCAGGGAGCCAGTTGGCCATGCCACCCAGCACTGCCAGGGAGCTGCCGTCTGAGCCCGAGCTGGGTGCACAGAGGTGCCCGTCAGGACTTGTGGCCCTGTAACATTCCCTTGATAGTGTCTTCCCATTCCTCTCCCCAGTGGTTTGGAAATCACAGACCTCGTGTATATAAAATATGCAGAACTTGTCTTCCATTCCCCTGCCAGTTTTATATTTTTGGTTTTACAAGAAAAACATTAAAAACTGGAAAGGAGCTGTGAGGGCCTGGTTCTGCTTTGTGATTCAGCCCAGAGGCGGGGACCGGGAGAGCCTCTGAGGAGGGTGATGGAGCCAGGGTTCAGAGCTAGGGAAGCTGTGTGAAACCAGCTCAGGCCCTGGGTTCTCACCGCGGGGATGGGAACCAGTGGCATGTGGCCTCCATCGCACGCTGCGGCCCTTTCAGATGCCAGCGCGAGTCCCAGGACTGCAGAGAGGTAGGCCTTTCCCCATGGACAGGTGGACAAGCCGAGGCTGGGAGGTGCAGTGACGGGCTCCAGATCCCAGATCCCACAATCTGACCACAGTCCAGCCCAGCTCCATCTGCCCCGGGCCCCTGCCTGCTACAGAGACTCCTCAGCAGGTGGGAGAACGAGCTTCGAGTCTGGTGTCTGGGCTTCTGTAAACAGGGAAGCCCTGGGTGGGCAGGGCAAGCCTACCGGGGATGGAGCCCCAACAGCCTCAGAAAGGCAGGACAAAGGCCAGTCCCTGCAGGCAGGCTGGAAGACCAAGGCTCGCATGGGTCTGTCCCCATCCCCTATATGTCTCTCTCTCCAGCATCCAGCACGAGGAACAGGCCCACGCTCCAGGCCTGGGCAGGTGACCTGGACAGTGGCCAGCATCTCACATGTCACATTGATCACCTGTTAAAAAGATTCAGGAAAATTCCTGCCTCACCCCCACTGGAGTGGAACCATGCAAGGGTGGTCATGTTTACCACCTTCCCAGGCTCCCAGAAATGGCCTAAGGAGGGTCTTGTTGTTCCCTCTGTAGGTGAGGAGGGCCGCTGGCATTCACACCCCCATCAAAGGGCAGCCTCTTTGTACACTGACTTAGCAAAGCGAGATGAAAGGCCCAGTAGCCCCCTTCCTTATAGAGAGGGAGACTGAGGGTCAGAGTGAACACCCAGCCACACGGTGGTGGAGCCATGATGAGCACGTGGTCCTCCCCATCACCCACAGTGCCATGCTGGTCCTCCCCATCACCCACGGTGCCATGCTGTTCCTCCCTATCATCCATGGTGCCATGCTGGCCTGCGGTGCTTCCAGGGAATCTGCCCTCTGCCTCCTTCCAGGAATCCACTGAGGAGGTGCCTGCACCCCTGTCCTACTTGAGCCCTCCACACCTGAGCTCTGCCTGCTGTGCGTCCAGGGCCGACCCGTGGGGGCTGCATTTGGGGCCACTGCCCTCTGGCTCCGGGCTGGCTCCAGCCAGTGAGGAGCCCAGCATGAGAGGAAGGTGGGAGGGGTTCCTGGGTGGCTGTGTCCTCGCTGAAGATCTCGGTCCAGTCCAGTGGCCCTCTTCCACACAGCCCCCCCCCAGGCTGGGAGCAGCTCCCCTCCTTCCCTGCTCAGGTGTGGGGCAGGGCTGGGGAATCACTTGACACACCTCGGTGTGGTCCCCTCAGGAAACTCTCTCAACGGCCCCAAGCTGAAGAGGGGCGTCTTCCCTGCCAGAACCTGCTGCTTATTCCCATCCTACAGGCACAGAAACTGAAGGACAGTGCACCGGGCATGGTGGCTTACACCTGTAATGGCTCACTCCCAGCACTTTGAGAGACCAAGGCGGGCGGATCACCTGAGGTCAGTAGTTCAAGACCAGCCTGGCCAACATGGTGAAACCCCGTCTCTACTAAAAATACAAAAAAATAGCCAGGCGTGGTGGTGCGCACCTGTAATCCCAGCTATTCGGGAGGCTGAGGCAGGAGAATCACATGAACCCAGGGGGCGGAAGCTACAGTGCGCCAAGAATGCACCACTGCACTCCAGCCTGAGTGACAGATTGGGACTCTGTGTCAGAAAGAAAGAAAGGAAAGAGAGAGAGAGAGAGAAGGAAGGAAGAAGGAAGGAAGGAAGGAAGGAAGGAAGGAAGGAAGGA